AGACCACAACTTATTGTGAAAAATTGAATGGCATGCAACAATTTTGAAGGAATGCAAAAAATCATTACTAAATAGTACAATGTCATGATGAAATGTATCAGATTCAAAGATGTCTTTAAGATTGTGTGTAAATTTTGTGATGTTTTAATCACCTTAAAAAAATAATTTGGGTTCTCTATCATATTAAAGATTGGAAACATTCTGACAATGACTGCTGAAAAATATCTTTTTTTAAAAGTTTAGGGTGGAAAGTTGACTAAAAAATAAAGTTCATTTGCGTATATTGTTAATCGTGGACTTATCTTTTATGTCAATTGAATAAAAAATATTCTCGAGTAATATTGCTTAATACTGTTCGGTTAATAAAGTCTATGTAAAACGAAATTTTTGTGATTTTGCTTATTCTCTTTATGAGAAGTACGCATAGAATGTCTAAAAATAAGTAGTCGCAGTATGATATTACAATTCCACGTTTCACAGGGTGCACTACACATAATAACGAGAAAACATGTGTGATGATTTTACTGATTGACATGCGAGTGCTAATTCATCATTTTGAAAAGACTTTTCCGTCACAGGTTCTACCTTAAGTTGTTATATCTGTTTCTATTTTCGAATCATCATTTTTTAGAACACAAATGTCCATTTATTGGGTAACCTTTACCTTCAAATAACATCCACACGAAAGAAATTTATTTGCATGTGTATGTACAATTTATAAACGAAATGGGAACATCCCCAAGAACAAGAGTGTGCTTTTTTTACTTAAATTGATCTTCATATTTAAAAATGATTTTACTACATCCTTGTAGCCATTCATTTATATCAACGTATTTTAGTTTCATATATAATAAAATTACAAAAAAAAAATTAAGAGTTAGCTTATTTATTAAGGAATTGAATAATGATTCGAATTTGCTCCGACCTTACCAACGGGGATAATAATTGAGAAGTTTTAAATCTGTTGTTTTAAATATAAACAACAAAAGACACCTTCCATATACGTTTCAGCTTTTCTGACTAAGTGTTTTTTCATTAGATGATTATACTTCTTTTGTCTTTCCTCGATTATCTTCCCTTTGAAAGGAATTTTGCCCTTCATGCCTAAACCTAGAGATGCTTTGTAAAGTGGTTGATAGAAAAAAAAAATAAAATTGGAAGAGTTAACAAAGGAAGTCGAACAACATATGAATGAAACATATGGAGATAACAAATAGTTTTCAAAATCAAATGAACATAAAACACATCAAAATAAGATCAGATCATAAACGGACTTCCAAAACTTCAGAAATGGAATCCGGTGCCATGGAAGAGTGAGCATTCTCTGCCGAACGGTCACACCCGCCGTGTGCTTCTTTTGATGATCGAGAAATAACAGAAATATCCGTTGTCAATACAGTGTATAAATATATGAAAATCGTAAGTCAGCATTTAACTAACTGATTAATTGTATTGACAATATTAAAAATCAGATTAGATGAGCTAAAATGTGAACCCAAATCTGCATTTCTATCAGAATAGATATTATCTATTCTATATCATTCTGTCACTGATGCAAGCAGAGGAAAATACAATCCAAAAATACTCAAATTGAGAAAAGAAAATAATGTTCTACAAAAAATAAATCTTTGTATGTCAATGTCGTGTTCAATAATCCCGAAAACGATTTTTCTGACCAATACAAAATGCACTTACAGTATTACAAGACACACTTTTCATGTGATTCCATTAGGATCCATACATCCGTATGTGTTTGTTTCTTTCTAAATCACGTACTTTCTACTTCTGTCTTTACAACCCTAGTAAATACTCTTCAAAACAGTACAACAGTATACCAACGGCAATATATATATGCCATTGCTTGACTGTACAATATGTCATCGACGAAAATATCTGCCAATTCATAACAAAACATTTAATCGTCTGTTACTCAGGAGTGAAATAAGAGTCGTCTCGGTGAAAATATAAACCATTTGGCGGACAAATGTGCAGTGAGGGCATGAACATAGTGACGTCGAGGACAATTTTTAAGGAACCACAATATTTACCGAATCAAAACCTCAAGAGGACTGACAGCTTATCAAAGCTGGAGGTTTGAAACACAAAACCCTTAAAAAAAAAAAGCATATCCAACCTTAATTCAAGGGAGAATGAGATATAATGCTAGTTGTAACCGCTAGTTGTAAACACATCACATGGGTTTTATACATACTGAGGACATATAGAGTTTAATTAATAACGAAGCAATGCCCTCGATACTGGCATATAAGGAGGTTGAACTACAATCACTCAATATGGTCTTCTCTTTTTAGTTTTTTTTTTCAACAACATTCAACAAATATTCTTCGCAGATGTGGGCGTAAGTATAAGGGGGTTGATATAAATCTTGTAGACACGCGTTAATATTATAAATTTATATATTTTTGTTGATAATTAAAGAAAAGTCTAAGAATTTAATTTTTTTTGTGTATGCAATCAAAATTGTATTGGCATTTTCAGAAATATACAATGTTTGTGTCGTTAACAAGACCAAGAAAACCAAAAATATACAATATTAGTTTCGTTAACAAAAACAACTAGACCAAAACTTATCATTTCAAATTTAAATTATTCATACGGATATTCATGTTGTCTACATATGTGTAATTTGTTTCTTCATGAAAGTGCTATTGTATATTTCTATTATCACAATGTCATCATGAAAAAAAAAATTATATAAAACAAGAATTGGCTGTTTTCATCTCTGAAATGTAATTTAAAATTACATTTCTGTTTCTAATGTTAATGAAACACGGACATTTCTGTTATAATAAAATCCATAGTCTACGACGCAGTAGGTAGAACGCCTGCTCAAAGAGTCGAGAAGTACGAATTTGATCCTTTCCTCGTTGGCTCGAATTCCATTTTCCGATGGGAAATGTGCTAATCTCAAAAAATGATTGGGTTTAGATATTCAATTACAAATTAATATAGCATTGCAAATAAATATTGCATTGAAAAAATGAAGTTTGATTTTTTTTTTTTTATTATTTTCCATTAAGACATTACGATATTTCTCCTATGAAAAGATTATAAACAGATTTTAGCTAATCAAATTCAAGATCTAATTCTTTGTCCGAGATTAGCATATCCGTTTTATGGTTGAATTCGACTTTCCACTCTTCAAGCAAGGTTTTGACTGTTAACGGGGATTTAAAAGAAATAGACAAGTAAGCCATATGGTTGTGTAGAAAAAAAATAATCATAGAGGATATGGGTACGAGGGGCATTTCAAAAGTTCTGCAACTGTTTAATAAAAGATTAACCGTTTACGGAAATTATTGAGTTTGATATCATTGGAAAGATCAGAAAAAATGTATACATATTGTGACGTCACTTTATAATTTTTATGACGTAAAAACTCCGAACATGACTTCAGAATATTGAATGTTTAGCATGTAAACAATAAACAGCTAATGAACCTCACTCATGAAAAAAATTGTTGCAAATAGATAAACAAACATTTTTAAAAAAAGTTTACTATAGAGAGCCTTTAAGTTAGAAGCATACAATAAGTTAAGAATTGTTCCACAAAACTGGGTCAATCGGAAGTTGAGTGGATTTGGTAATGACACTAAAGCACCGGAAGATAACAAAGCGATATGAAAAACATTGACTGTTTATTATCTGATTTATAACTGGGGGACTACTTCTGTGGCTACCTAACAGACCACCTTCAGTGATCCAGAATTTCATAACCGGGCAAAAATGGTGCGTAATGCACAGTTGGAAAGTGTTTTTCGAACTACAATGTCATTCAAGGGTCTCTTCATGATACCAATACATTTGTCAATCCAACTGTTCTGGAAATAATGGTATATTATAAACTAAGCACTTATCCGGCAAATGTTCGATATTTTATTCATTGTATTTAACCTTTTAACCTGATATTTATAAACATATATCCACCCAGATCTTCTATAGAAACTTGATGTTTTTGGTATTGAGTCTAGAAACAAATACATGCAACAAAAATAAATTATACTTTATGGCTGATCCTCCTTAATAATGATTTAAAGTGATTTTCTGAAGGTAGATGCATGGCTGGCGACGATAGGGCCTGGTCAAAGCAGTCATGTGTCCGCCTTATTCCTGATGACGTTATGACGTCCAGGCAATAAAGAGTATAATAGTAAACTCTGAGAGTTTGCAATCGAGCAAAAGTGTCAGCATTTATACCCCCCCCCCCCCCCCCAAAAAAAAAAAAAAAAAAAGAAAAGATCAGTTTTATTAAAAAAAAAACAAACTCTGCTCATTTTCAAAGATAAATTATTTATCTTATCTTTATTTTCGCGTTATGACACACATTTTTAAAGTAAAACAAGGAAAGATATAATTGACGAAAATGAACTCAGTGGATTTTAGTCAATGAACCCAAAACAATAAAAAAAAATATCTGAAAAATATATACTCGTATATTTTGATCTTGATCTTGAAAGTCATTTGCATGATTTCAATTTTCTTTACATAATACTATGAATGGTACAAAAAGAAAAATACGACTTAGAAAATAAGAATGACTGCTGCTATATTTACATTGAGGGAATTCATAAGAACCTGAGGCAGGCCCAGTTTAATTTTCAAATAAAAGATAAACTAATATTAATTAGAAGTGTGCTTCAGAAACTATTCTCTGACCTCAGTCATCTCGAAATGCATTGGGGATAGGGGAAGGTGTAATTTTAAGGTCTCTCATTGACACAATCCGACCACTTACCTCGAACCAAGACAATTTCAGAAGCATGAACCCTCCTCCCGATTATGTGAAAGAATCATTTTTTTTCTCTTATCAATTATTTTGATATAAAGAGTTGTAAATTGTGTATAAAAACATCAGGCGACAAGAAAACTTCAACAGATACATAATATTGAAAATCAACAGAATCAAAAGTTACTGAATAAGTGAATTTAATAATTTTTTTAACATAATTAGTAATTAAAAATATCAATGTACTCATTTAATAAGGACTGAAAAGAAATAATGTGATAGTAATAAAAAATGACAACTATTACTTCGTTGAAGTTGAATATCAAAAGTTTACAATACATCGTAAATGCTTTGTTCACAGAACTGTAATGTAAGCTTCTATTTATCGATCTGTTTCATCATAGAAATAATTTTAGATTTACATGTAAGAAGATACAAAATGTACATGTACAAAATATGAGAAGAGTCATATTTGACAGGAGTATTTATGAGAAAATGAGCTAGACTGTAACTCTCTTTCTCTCTCTTGTCTCTTGGGTACAAAGAGATATATTGTTTTTAAGTCCCGACGTTGACGACACCTCAAATTTATTGGTCAAGCATAGAATGAAAAGTCACGCTAACTATTGTTAATATACGAACACTTCTTATATTCACACAATTATCAAATCTGATTGTTAATTCAATCATCGTTTTTTTTTCTCTGAGAACCTCTAATGTAATTAACACACAATTTCCTGAGCAATAATCATGTGAATTGTGATTCAGGTTCATAAAACCCGTTTATAAATAAATTAAAACAATATATCAATTTCTGTAAAGAATTAAGAAAATTAAAAAGTAAACTAGAGGCCCTCCATTCTTTTTTCAATTTGATCTCTTTTGGAGTGAATGTTTTGGCAAAAGTCTACATTTCTATGTGTCTGAGTCTGAAATATAAATGTATTCAAAATGATCAAACAGTAAAGCATTTGATGAAAACAAAAAAGTTTAACAATAAATATTCCATCATCCAATACATATGCGACCTATAATACTGTACCTTTGATCCGATTTTTATTTCCATTCCCTCCCCCTTATTTTTCTCTGTTTGATCCTAACTCTTTTTTAAAACTGAGTGATTTTTTTAAAATACATTTTTCACAATTCACCTTTCATTTAATTTTTTACGTAACTCGTTATTTGACTAAATACAGAATTATTTTATGTTTCATAACCTATGTTAACTTATATTAATACGCTTATCCTTACAATTTTTAAAGGTACAATTTCAATGCATTTTTGTTCTTCTAATTTTCTGTACCTATTGATGTGAAATTAAGTTGTGATGAATGACTTGAAAACACATACAAATTATACCAGTATACAATGTACCAGCTTATAAAGCGTTAACTGCTCAATCGCAAAATACATTGTATGATTATAACCTGGGTAGCTTCATTCCGTAATAAATCACATTAATAACCTCTATCTGAATCAGATTCATGATTAAGATCAAGAACTAGTAAATTACTTTGGAATTTTATCTTGATATAAGGTACAATATCACACCATAATTAATCAGAATCAAGTTTATTTTGAAAAGTAACCTTTCAGTTGATACCTATTTCAAAAATACTTTTCTTTCAAGTAAAGAGTATGAATAAATGTTATTTGAGAGGTTGTGGGCACTTAAAATAAAAAAAAATGGACTTATTGATCGACACGGAGAATTAACTATTTTTTTCCTCAGAACTATGTGAATTTTCAAATTATGCGACGGTAAACGTTATTTAGCCAGGTTATTATGATAACACATCTATAAGTAATTGATTTTTCAAGTTCCCAAAATATCAAGGCACCTTATATGTGTTTGAACCCCTTCTTCAATATGAATAAAGATCTTGATTATTTTGTAGCGGGAAAGTTGAACAACTTATATATATACTTATATATTTAGATGTTTTACTCTAAATATTTTTTTCTCTTTTTTTATTATGATATTCACCAGTTTTAAGTTTGATTTTGTTGTAGAGAAGTCACAAACTCCGTTATTGTTATTAATGTTTATGATTCATCGGGTTTGTTCACACACACCTGAGCACAGACTGACTATACTTTGAGAAGGCTTGCTTTTGAACATTCTACTCTGAATTTTCTGCATTATATTTCGAATATCTTTCATTAATACATAGCAAAATTTGCACTCTTCTTAACTATTAAGAAGAAAATTATTTTTTTTAAAGTGCAATGATATGTCAATCAATTGCGTCCAAAAACCAATAAGTACGAGGTGGAATAAGAGATATTTTTGTACGTTATGCTATAGCAACTACATGTATACGTCATAAAAAATTATTCAGTACGTTTGAGACAATATAAACTTCAATTCGATGTGTAAGAATCTTTCATAAAAATAATGAATATGTTATTCTGAACCCTTTGAATAGACATTTTCATCGGATATAATATTTATCACTTTCTAGATGAAATTTTATCCATAGAAATGCTACTTACCACTTTCTAAATCAGATATATGCGAAGATATTCTGGATTTGATGGATGATTGTCTGCGATATCTCATGAAAGAAGGATGAGGGCTCAATTCAGATTTTGATCTTCTGTTAGCTACAAGAAGTGGACAATTATGACAAACTTTTTATACATAAGTGTTATGATTCTTCTTCTTTTTTTTTTACAAAAATAATGAAAAGAAAGACATGAATAAGAATGAGTATAATCTCTATCTCCAAACAACCCAACGCCATCCCGAAAAAAAAAAATGAACAAGTCACTCTGCTTCATGTTGCTACCAAAAGCTGTCATAAGAATGTCAATACTTGTAAAAAAAAAACTTTTTTTAATATAAGTTGTGAATTTGTGGTGGCTTGTACGCCTCTGGCACTTTATATTTTAATCCACTTTAAATTCAATTAAATGCTTCTCTATACAGATATATTGCATATAGATAAGGTATTAAAACAAAAAAAATCAATCCCCTGTGTTTGCAACATTTGAAAAAAAATACTCTTTTTTGCGTTTTATTGGCTAGGGAAATTAAATTGATAACGTGATAAAATCGCATATAACCCGAAATACTTCATAGTAGAATATGTTCATCGACCAACTCTATGTCATATTAAAAAGAAGCTCTTTAAACGGTTTTTATTTTTATAATTTGAATTCTGTTTTGCATTACAGAAGAACAAAAAAACGTTTAATACTAAGTTTTTACACAACTCAAGAATTTACGTGACGTCACAATTGCCTTGTGTAACATGCTTTTAAAAGCGAAAGATTTTGATTGCATGACAAACTTTAAGCGCTTTTTTATTGACACTAAAGATCAAACGACACGGTCTTAAAAATATTTATAATTTTTTCTAAGAATTTGTAATGAAGTATAGGTACTTAAACACGTTTCCTAAAAAAAAAATGCTACCTTACCGGGCATTTGGATAAGATACCATGGGGTCATATTTCTTATATATCCCTCATGGGTAATCTTCCAAATGGCCTATATAACAATGTTTGGTGTAGTTATATTAAAAAAATGAATACAATGTAGAAATCAGAAGAGAGTGACAAATATGAATATTTTACATGATTCTTAGAGATACAAAACATATATTTGAGGAACTGGTCTTAAGAACTCACAATAGCAAATGTAAATATTTTAATAACAAAGCCTTAATAATACTGAATGGTAAAGATATGTTTTAAAACTTACAATCTGTTCTCAGTTTTGTCAGAAGGTTCGACTCCATCTATAAAAAAGCAGTAAAACTGTATGTACATCTAAATATCTTAAAAGGCATTACATTCCATTTTAGCTAGATATTTGATTCATTTTTACCTAATATAGATACTGAAATCTTATAATAAATACATTTATGCAAACTAGATAATGTTATGAGCACTGTAATTCAAGATAATTCTCATGGAGCAAAACATATTTGTTTTATAACAGAGTACATATTTTAGAAAGAATTTCTCATGTATGGATATGGCCTATCAAGTTAATGCTGCGTTGTTTTAAGTCTTGTGTTGACTTGAGTAACAACTGTCCTTGAGGTCATGAAGAATGTTACAGCTCAATATGCTATAAAATTACCCTTTATAAAACCTCTGAATTTAGTATCAAATGCAACTCATGTCATATATTTACATGTATATACATTGAAAGAATTCTTTTCCCATTACATGACAAAAGCAGTTAAAGCTTATTGATAAAACTTCAATGTAAATGCAAGCTTGTCATTAAGGCTTCGTTTCATATGTTGATTTGATGCGCAAGGGCAATCTATACCGACAACATTTAAAAAGACTGAGGTACGTTATTGACAAACAAGTTTATAAAAGAAATCAGTAATTTCGTTTAAAGTAGTCATTTCGTACGTTCTATGGTCGATTCAATTACCTTGTAAGCAAATCTATCCTTATGTCAAATTCTTACTGATTTTTTTCATAGTAATTGATAGGGCAGTATTTATATCAATTTATCTAACACATCGTCGACAGTTTTTCAGTCACTCCCTGTTCATGACATGGAGCACATAAACGGGACTGACTGGCCGACATTTGATGCACACTATTCCATGGCTTCTGATCCAATCTGTGATGTTTTAGAGGATTTGTCTGTGTAGTTTTAATGAACTTTTGAACTTGAATGTTTTTCCTTATCTTTGTATATATATATTTCATATAACAAAAATAATTGTTCCTTGTAAGAATTGTAGTACGTATCTGTTTCTTAGATTATAAGGTAGCTATAAAATACCTTTTGAAAGTTTTCTATCATGCTCTTTTCTATTTTTCTGCGATGTCTCATTAAGTTTCTATTCATTTCCTGTAAATTATATAAAAATATCAATTTCATTTATAACCTCCAAGCATTTCGTTCTTTGTTGGAATATACACTTATATTTTTATCAACGACGTGCTTAAAAACGATTTTTTTTAAATGCTGATATTCAGTGAAAAAATATCCAATATGAAAACTTATGACGTAAATTTTATTTTTAATATGAATTGTTTAAAAATTACGGGAATACATTACCTTAAACTTATTTTCTTCGTTTATATCCATTTCCCTGAAATGGATCATGTGAAGGACAAAAAAAATTAATAAGAAATCATGAATAAAAACTAACAGGGTTTTTAAATCAAGATCACAGTTACAACTTAGTGAATGACGTACGTTAAGTCAAGGCCCTTTGTGAAGGACGTTAAATCAAAAACACTTTCTCCCTTAAATATTTACGTACGTTAGTGATTGGCGTGCATCATATCAAGTACACCTTACCACTTAGTGATTCACTTGCAATAAATCAAGTACACCTTACCCCTTAGTGATTCACTTGCATTAAATCAAGTACACCTTACCCCTTAGTGATTCACTTGCATTAAATCAAGTACACCTTACCCCTTAGTGATTCACTTGCATTAAATCAAGCACAACTTACCCCTTAGTGATTCACTTGCAATTTATCAAGTACACCTTACCCCTTAGTGATTCACTTGTAATATATCAAGTACACCTTACCCCTTAGTGTTTCTTTTGTAAAATATCAAGTACACCTTACCCCTTAATGATTCACTTGCAATAAATCAAGTACACCTTACCCCTTAGTGGATGATGTACGTTAAATCAAGTACACCTTACCCCTTAGTGATGTACGTTAAATCAAGTACATCTTACCCCTTAGTGATGTACGTTAAATCAAGTACACCTTACCCTTTAGTGATGTACGTTAAATCAAATACACCTTACCCCTTAGTGATGTACGTTAAATCAAGTACACCTTACCCCTTGGTGATGTACGTTAAATCAAGTACACCTTACCCCTTAGTGATTAAGGCGGCCTGGCCCTCGGCTTCACGTGTTTCCTTTAGTTTTAAATCGTAGTTACTGTCATATATAAATCCTGTGAAAAAATATAATTTATACTTTCCCTGAAAAAAAGAACTTCACAAAACAACACACAAAAGCAATCAAAGCAAAAAATACAAAAAAAAAAACAAAAAAAAAACGATTTTTCACATTAAAAAAAGTTATAAAACTTTTTATAAATATATACTGACCTTGTACAAACATGGGAATTCTTTTCATTTTTTTGATATCATCTTCATGTGTATATTGAGCATGTTGAATATTAGATTTTTCGTCTTTAGCATGAACTGAAGAATTACAGCACCGACGTATGGAAGTAACCATCCAAACAACGGCGTGGATGACAAAGAAGGGGATCGCTAATAATTGCATGTGAACAGGAAAAATGCTTTTCAGACTGAACTCTTCCAAAAAATCAGTTTGGAGTTGGGACCAGTAGAACTTTGACTTCTCTTGAACTTTAGCAAATGTATTACTATAAGAAACAAGAAAAAATTGATCTAAGCCTCAATTGTCCTCCGGGAAATGAATAAAGTAAACAATGGAAATGAGTCTTGATCATCAAATCGCTTCGATATGTGTAAAAAAAAACGGGATGCGTCTAAATGCTAGGAACGATAGTTGAGAATATTTTGAAAACTTATAGTCGGATGAAAATAGAACAAAAAAGATACCCAATTTATCAATTCCTCAACTAAATGTTGGCTGCATAAAATATAAATTGAAAGTAGACTCATGCATCACCTCTTTTCAAAAATGTGTTTCACTTTAAGAATATAAAACACAAACTCTGTAGAATACGTTTTTATGTGATAGGTTAAATTCGATGTTCCAAAAAGAACCTGTCGTTTTTCAATAGTAATGTTTAGAAAACCCTTAATTCTGAATAACCTTTCCAAACACAATTCCAAACACTTAACACCAACACTTAAACTTATATGTATAGAGCAGCCCGGTCCTACGGGCTGCAATAAAATTGCTTTTTATCAGTATGCGTTTTATATTAAATGATATATTTCAAATTGTTACACTGTTCAAGTTTAAATGCCATTTCTAGACAATTTTAATCAACAACTGGAGTATCTATTTTTATAATATGAACACATATAGTCTCCTGAATGTATACATCTTCTGTAATTTTTTTCGGTCTTTTCTTTCAAAGTACGAGGGTTGTTCGAAAATTATTGAGACAATGTGTATATTTTGCTTTCTAATGAACGTCTTTCGGTGAAAATTTGCATATACGTTTGAAATACACTAAGAATTAATAATAGAAAAAAAAAATTAAATATTAAATGTTTCCTGTACAGTGGTATATAAATGCAGCAAAAGTAGGGGTCCCCGGAGCAGTCACGAAATCAGATATTGAATGTGTATAATTTTTGCTGTTTTATTTCAAATTCATGCTGTGCAACATTGTTAGAATTTTGATCAGGAATACGGAGATCATAAAAAAGCGCGGTAGAGAATTCTGCTAAGAACGGAAAACTGGATTTTAACGTCAAGGGCGGAGCAGCCAACATACCTAAAATTTTGTGTAGCGCAATGTAGAACTCTTTTCTAGACTGAACGACCTGCTGAAACAATAACAACGAGAAAAAATAATGTGTCAGGGTTTGTTATTTCATTGGGTATGCATTTTTTGTTTTAAAATCAATTCAACCAGTGTAAAATCAAAAGTTCCGGACGACTATCAGTATTTACGTACGATATTAATATCGTTGACCCGCGTTGCATAAATTGGCACTGCATGATACTAAGTCATCCTTTCCCACAAATGAAAATTTTACACTTGGGTAGCAGCAGCAAACATTTTTAAAGAATAGTTTAAGAATAGAGACTGTTTGATTTTTGTAATGTTATATGTAATAGCAAAGAAGGAAAAGCATTAGACGCTTCCCAGTCGTTTTTCATGCGAAACCATCTCCGGCTGACGTGACGTTAAATGACGTAGCGATGCTGCTCCGGGTCGATAGACAATTGCATGTTTATCATTTTACGGAAACTTTACTTATTATCATAGGAATTAGAAATTTTGCATAAGTGTTATATTCGTTCTTTATAAAATGTTGATCAATTTTCATGAAATTATCTCCGTCCTTTATGGAGTAAATGTAATTGTCTCAATAATTTCCGAACAGCCCTCGTATGTAAAAAAAAACACAACAATACTTAATCATTTCGATAACATTGTTAGATCCCTTGTTATTTCCATGAAATTGATTTTATACGAAAGTTCTACGACGACTTTGTTTACAGTTTGATTACTTTTTGAAAAAAAAACTATTCATGCAAAATATCATATACTGATTGTGCATTCTAAACATCATTTGACAATGAAAGCTTTTGATATTAGGTAAAATTTAATGTGTTTCATTTCTTCTGAAACATTTCTTATATTATATCTTTTTTTTAAATTGAAATGAAATTTGAATTTAATCAATTCTAAAAATTTTACAAAAAAAAAAAATCCAAACACGAAAAAATTAACATTGAAAAGAACAATTCCATTAGATTTTAGAAAGTCAAGATAAACCATTAACCCAAAAAGGTATAAGACATACCTGTACATGGCGATCAGCAAATTTAAAAGTAATATGACTGCCGTGAGAACATAAACAGCTTTTAGATAGGGGGCCAAAAACCTCCCTAGTGATGAAGGACACCTTTCTTGTGACCCATCTCTATATTCAGTTTCGTTGAATGTACAATCAGGTTCCGTCACTAGAAAAATAGAAGAATAAGAAGTGTTGATCATTGAAAGTTTTGCAGGGGATGCTCATTTCTCCATGGCACCTAATCCCAGCTCTGATGTTTTTGGGGTTCATGTTTGCTCTGCTGATCTTTCCTATTATTTAATGGAAGTTAAAGCTTGAATACTGTTCGTTATATCCGTATGAAACATATGGAAATAACAAATAGTATTCAAGATCGAAGTCCATAAAACAATACAAAATAGGAGCAGGGCAATCACGGACCTTGAAAACATAAGAGGTGGTATCAGGTGCCTTGGAGGAGTGAACTTCCTCTGCCGACTTGTCACACCCGCCACGTGCCCTTTCTCATGATCGGGATATAACGGAAAATATCATAATCTATAATGATTTGCTATATATGTGTATCAGCCCAACAATCCATGTTAGTTCTTCGGATTGGTATACCTATGTGATGTGAGGCATATCTTCAACAATTGTAACAGTTCTATGTATAAAATACGTAATAATATGTTTAGAATACATATGAAACAAACTTCTTTGCAAACGGGACAAATATGATAAAACATAATTACTACCGTATAGCGGGTTATTTTAGCGGGGTGCTAATTTTGGCTTATTTTAGCGTTTTGATGATGATCTGCTAAAATTGTTATCGCTAAAATAGTCAGGACTCTTTTTAGTGTCCATCTGCAAAGAGGTGAAACCCTACGTCCGCTAAAATAAATTACGCCAAAAATATTCCCATACCTTTGAGTAGGCAAAACGCCAAATTTTACACCCGCCAAGAAAACCCGCTATACGGTATGTCCAGAGTACGGGAAAGATCAAAGTATATCAAATCATTTCACTGATTTTTATTATTGATGAAATCGATTGAAAAAGTTTGATATAATCTATTCTTCTTACATCTATCTCCTTCCAAATTCAGCTCTCCGAATAACATCCAGTATCCGTTTCTCGTTATTTTCTCCAGTTCCTCAAAAGTAAATTCCGAGTTTTCAGAATATAGTATGGCGTAGTAGGAGATATTATAGCACATGGAGATTATAAACATGATTGCCATAAAAGCAATTGTGTCCTTAAACTGAAAACAAAAAACAAAAGGTGAAACTGCATTGCCTCCATCACTAAATGCTTATAGGTAAAAAAAAATCAGTTATAAAAGCTTCTATCGTCAGATGAAAAAAAAAATCATTATACTCCTTCCTGAACATGCAAAGAAGTCAAACGAGACGAGACGTCTTAGCGCATTTTTGTTTCAGTTTTAATAATATGATTGCTGAATTCGGTATTGACCAGTTAAGGGCCCTCATAAGGCAAAAAGAATGTACACGTCTATTGTTAAAATCCATAAAATAGTTATAATCATAAACAAGAAATACAATATCAATAGAAAAAAGAGGAAAAGGCTTGCTTGATTGATAAGAACGACATACAAGTAGGGTACTGCCACAAGTATTTTATATGTATAATAAGAATTGTTTTATAGGTATACATCATCTTTATGCATACATTACAAAATCACATATATTTAAAAGTATTATACTTTTACATTAGTAGTAAAAAATGTCACATTCCTAAAACGTATGGTGTGATAATTCATGTACGAAACAATAAGACAATTTTTCCTCCGGAGGAGTCTTCAATAAAAGATTTTAACGTAGCATCATGTTGTAGGCAAGTTATGTAATACAAAATTAATTAAATCTTTTACCCTATCAAATGCCGTGTTACATCTAAAATTAAACTATGCCCATAGGACATTGTTCTTTTTTTAAATTATTAAAACATGATTTTTAAAAAATCATTAATTTGAAACTTTATTTAGTTAGCTCATGCGAAATACATTTTTTTAAAATTGAAAATCAGCAACAGTTAAAGGTGTTCTTATAATTCATTTACCATTTTTTGGATAATGACTAATGTAGGACCCAACAACTCGGACATGGAAAACATATGAAGGATCCGTATACTCAACATGATGAAAGCCGCAACCAGCAGAACTTTAGATGCAGTAAAGTAGTCGTACATATCGTTAAGTTTCATAAGCATGCCACATGTATACGTAGTCAAAGACAACCAGTCCAGAATGTTCCATGGGTCCGTAATATACTGTTTCTTCTTTCTCCTTATAGCCGCCACGAAGACCTGAAAAGTCATTATGTACCGCGGTATACAATGAAATTTATCTAATCTGACATGCTCTTGGAGACAGTCTTTGTGTCAAAATAGGCAGGATGTCGAATTGCACAGTGTTAAAAAAAGGAAACAACGGTAAAATTGGAGAGAAATTAAACTTCACAAATCAAAGTTTGACGGATTTTCAAAAATGTCAAAATAGACAGTTTTTCCTGTACTTCAAAATACATTGTAAATTAAACTCTCTCAAGTTACAGAGCTTTGAAAATGTACATAGATCACTATATTTTTGTGACACCTAATTTTAGCATAATATTCGTAAATCTTTATTTTCCAGACAAATTTATACAAATTGTCTTTTTTGACCTCATATTAATATAAAGAAAAGTAATATAGATAAGCATGAAATTATCGCCAGCACAATGTCTCGCGTATTAATGTACTCGAAAACAAAGTTCCCGTTAAAGAAAAGTGGTTTATAGTATTCAATTATTCCTTTGCCTTATAACATCAACGATACCTCGAGAACATTAATGATATTTCAAAATTAATACGTGTTATTTGAATTCACCTTCATACATGTTCCAAGAACACATTAAAAATATAATCTACGTGTCAAGGTCAATAAAAGATAAGTTATTGATGTTAATATTGAACACATGTAGTACAAAGGAATAATGAAATGAACAATATTTGTGATTTTCAATAAATATTTAGCAAAGCAAATTCAACTCTTTTAAACTGCCATTTTCAGTTTTTATTATTTCTTTTATGTCTTTAAATAATAAGGTAGTTTATGAAAAAAGTAACTGTTCGTATTAAAATATATATAAAGAGCGGCTGGAAAAACTACCTGCTTTGTTTCTTCAATGAAAAAGCTAGTCATCCAGGCAATAACAAAAATGTCTGAGTTAGATATCCCTTTATCAAAGTCAAACAGAAGCATATAAGCATATCCTGTTAGGAGAGCGAAAAGACTCATCTGGAAGTAAAATAAATACATTTGAAAATAAAGAACAGCAAAACTAATACCATCATTAACTAAGGCATGAACATGGAACTTGGGAATTCTATGGGAAGGATCAAATAGCAATAAGGATAAAGCATCCCGTTAAAAGAAATACGCACGCTAACTCGATTCTCTTCTACATTTTATAAGCATTTAATTCAATATAAATAGCAATTTGGCCATAAAATCTTTGTTTAATACAAAAAAACATTTCAATGGTAATTGATGAATTGACTTAATACCAGCGCTACACAGTAAATTATCCATTATTCCAGTTCTTAAAAGACGGGGTAGACGATATTTTCCATTGAAACCAGAGTTTCAAGCAACACCATATTTTGAAATAGTCTTGGATATGATAAAATTTTCCATATAGCATTTCTTATGTTTTAAGCAAATAAATAAAACATAAATATATCAATAACATATAATGTTTCAGTTGTAAGTCCCTTTGAAACTGGTGGAAAAAAGCATTTTTGTCGTTTTTTGTCAATAAACATATCCCCCCTTTGGTATGAATTTGTGAATGAGCATTCCATATTACCCGTGAAAAGGAATTTTTGTAACACGGGGGGTGGGGGGAACATGTAATAAAAATATTTCCGCTTTCCGTTTATTTCTATAGTGAAAAACACAAGTTTTACCAAAATTTTAGAGTTATCTCTCTTTGTTTTCCCAAATAAGTACGTTTTTTTGAAAATCCAATTAATAATCTATGTAAAAAATATTAAAAATTCATCGAATATGTTAACTTTTGAAAAATTGACTTGATCGTAGGCGGGAGAACAATACTATCGTTTGCAATTCTTTTAAAATATACTCACCACGTTCAGGAAAACCTTCATGAATGGAATTTTATATTGTCTGTACAACCTTAGAATAAAATGCGAGACCACTTTATCATGCAAGTTAAGTTTCATATAATAAAATAATAAAATTTTATATAGCAACTTATCTTTTGTGAATTCTAAAGCGCTTTACATCGATATAAAAATCTAAATAATAAAAGAAAGACTAAAAAACTTACATACACCTATAAAAAATTAAGAAATTCTGAAAAAAAGTTACATATTACAACAGATCATGCATATATACACATATCATTCATTTAAGAAAACCTAATTGAAATGATAATATTACATCTTACCATTTAAGAAGCTTGTTTTCCAATATTACACTCTTACCATTCTAGAGGCTTGTTTTCTAGTGTTATCATCAGCAATGGTAGTAGAATGACATGAAGAATTGCCAATAGCACAAAACACAGTACCTGAAAATTGAGTGACATATAGGACAAAGTCAAGTTCTAAAATCATGCCAATACTTTGTCAAAACTGGTATTTAAATTAGCTTGTTCAACTAAATAGTTACGCAATCAAATCTCCTGTTTCCCTTTCTTTAGATTAAATGTGATGTCTAATGAACAAAAGTAACGAGAAGTATTTATACTTACTTTATATTTGGTAACCTTTTCAACACCGTACCACATTTCGTTTAGAATGTTTTTCACAACTTCATTGTCAAGAAAAGTTCTGTTCTCTGTTTGAATGCCACCAGTTAGATAACCATGGTTGAGGAGAAGTCTTCCAGAATGTTGAATGTTTTCGCCCCAATTTTTTTGCTCCTCTTTAGTGATTTCTTTCGATTTATTTTCCTGTTGTTGTGTTTTTGCATTTCTTTGTTTGTCTTCTTCATGTACACAGCTGATTATTCGCAGAGCTTGATGTGTATACTTTCTATTGATATACATTTAAAGGTACTTGGACACAGATTTGATGTTAATAATTTCTCATTTTTTCTGTATAATATCACGAACTATATGATTTAATAGCATTTCACACAAAAATTAATTAAAAATCTTATTTCATTTAAAAGTTATTAAAACTTGAAACTTTTTGCAGGTCTGATTGACACATACTTGCACTTTCACAAATTTTAACTTTATTCTTAATCCTCAGGAAAAGTGGCAATTTTGATGTGTTTTAATGAGAAATATTAAAACTTTTATCAAGTAAAATAATTTTAGTCAGAGTAGAAATGTTAGAAAGCAAAACACCTTCACAAGTATCGTCATTCCGAACTAAGAGATGCGTACAGAGTTTAGCAAACCGAGCACATTCGTGTTATGTATACGCAGTTTTTGTAAACATGGCTCGAGTTCTGTTATTGTTTATGTTTAGAATTCACCGGGTGCGTTATATCATCACAGTCTGCTTACCACAGCTGCACGGACGGACAGTATACTGTGTGTTTGTTTTGCTTTCGAACATGTCTACTCTGAATTTTCTGGATTATAGTATTAATATTTTTCATTATATACAAAACGAGATTGCCACTTTTCCTAAGGATTAAGAATAAAATATAATTTGTGAGAGTGCAAGGATATGTCAATCAAACCCGCCGAAAAAATTGAAATTTCAATATCTTTTAAACGAAATAAGATTTTTAATTAATATTTGTGTAATATGCTATTAAAATATAAAAGTCGTGATATTATAATGAAAAAAATAACTTCAAATCTGTGTCCAAGTACATTTAAAGCGTGAATAGAAATAAGGTCAGTGTTATAGATGTGTCTATTTAATATTATATTTCTTAGTGAATGTAAACCGGTAATTGTAAAGTAAAAATACAATTTTTGAGGCGGTAATACCTTTTAAATAAATAAATAAGGGTTGCACAGTAAAAACACGAGCATTTCACAAGAAACCTTCTGAAGCAAGCATATTCTAGTAAGAAGAATTCTTTGTATATTATCTGATGATAAATGTTGAAAATATAATCAAGATAGTTTATTAATTATAAGTCAAACGATTGTGAAATCCTAATAATACAAGCATGAAATATATTGACATTATTTACAGTAAAGAAGCTCAAAAGTCCTTTTAACAATACAAAGTTGGAGCAGAGCAATCATGGTCATAAATATCAGCTTTGGGATCAGGTGCCATGGAAAAGTGAGCATCCCCTAACGACCGATCACATCTGCCGTGTACTCCATGTCGTAATTGGGAAGTACCGGGAAAAAACGTGGACAGTTTAAATTCTAACAATAAGTATGAACATCGTCAGACCGCATTTGACATAGTACAATATTTTAACACATAACGCATCTGATCTGAGGATACGAATAAATTGATGTGTAAATCTCCTATTGATACTTATTGAAAGATATATACAAAATTAAGACAGTTCGATAAATACAATATTTTAACAAGAAATCACCTTAGATACGTATATTTCTGAATCAATACATTGATTTGTTGAATAATAAACATTGCAAAAATTTTAAAATAATACGTACAAGACTTATTTACAAGAAACTGTCGTACTGAATGTATAATTTTTTAAAACTTTAAATCACTTTTAATCCACTTTATTTTCTCGAAGCAAAGCGAGACAAAGAGCACGCAATATTTTTTTTCTGGCCTATGAAAGTATTTCTTAAAATTTTATCAAGGAATAAGAACAATTCGTGAAAATTATATCATGCAAATAAAGAGTTAATTACTATCCCGCGAAAATAACGTGTCTCGATTTTTTTTTTATATACAGTATATACTTGTTTGTTTTCTAAGTCTTATTTGTTATATATGTTACAGTAAATATATGTAACCAGGAATTTCTCGTATTTCCTAAATTTTAGGAAATACAAGAAATTCCTATTCTGCTTAGGGAATACACGTATTTTTTAATTTTAGTTAGGAAATACACGTAATTACTGAACTTTTCAATTCCTTTTTACACATATTTACCAACTATATGTTTTCGCGGGATAATTTAAAATTTAAATCATAAAATATGAATAGATGGTCAGTATAATCAATGTTCATATCAGTGTTCATACCATATGTGAATAAATAAATATTTGAAATAAAATTTTATTTATGTATAAATTTTCAAAATGTATTATTTGTAAATATTAACTTAAAATATAATGATGCTCTGCTTCATTTTCACTGGAATGTGTTTTCTATATCACAACATACTTTAACTAACTTTCATTTATTTATATATATTATTATGTAAAAAAAAAAATACTAAACTCGCTTACTGGCATTTCTTATTTTATTAGATATTCATACAATGCTACAGTTTTTGACAGGAAATTAAAAACCCTGAAGCATCTTATTTACAAATAAAAACGTTTTTATGCTGTTTCCTCAAAAGGAATTTTCCATCCTTAGAATTTTAATAATTCATCATAAAAAAAAACAAATTGAGTTTGAATTAACTGAAAATTTTAAAACATATCTATTTTAACATAATTTTAAAGATGTGAAACTCGAATAAACAGAAGTACCCCATATACAGGTTCGGACCAATCACCCAAATGCGATTTAATAGTCTGTTTGGGATATAATATCCCAAATGGGCTATAAATTTACAGGAAAAAATTGATTTTTTTAATTTTGGCTATAAATATCATAAATCCGCATCAGGACACTTAAAAAGGAATAACGTTTGGTTGACATGTTTTCCTGTATGCCCATTGTTTAGGAGATTGATCCCTAGGAAGTTCCTTAACTTCTTGTGCATCGATCTCACAAACTGTCAGGTTACAAAGAAATTGCTAACTAAATTTTTTTCCTATTTAAGCATATGCATATATTATTCATCCTGCTTTGTTCAGAAAAAACGTGTAAAATTGGCTTAAATTTTCAGTAAATACAGGAATTTCCTAGCTATTCAGTAATTACATGTATTTCCTAAAACAGCCAGGAAATACATGTATTTACTGAATGTTTTAAGAAATGCATGAAATTCCTGATTTCACATATTTCCTGTAACATATATATTGCCATGAAAGTTTTAGAGGCCCGCCTTTATTTTGTTCCTGATTTGTATCGTTTTATGGACTTTTGATCTTGAATACTATTGTTATCTCCATATGTACTATTTCATCTCATATTTTCTTCACCTACTTTATCATCAGTTCGAATTTCTCTTTATCCGCTTCACTTGTTCTCCAGTCGTCCACTGCTTCTTGTAGAATGACACAGCCAACAAGAATGAAGTGAATACGCACCTGTTAATGACAGTACAAACATAAAGAATTAAAATTACATTCATTTGGTTACATTTAACTACAAAACTAACATGAATGAAATGAGCAGACAACTTTTAACAAAGATCAAATTGTTCTGTTTTATCGTAATCGTATGTGTATATATAGATTGCTTAGCAAATCCGATAAATAAACATTTAGGATTATTTCTGCTCCAACGAAAATCAAAGGTTAAAATTGTGTCATACGTCTTGCATCTTAGTCATCATTTAGTTGTGATCATGTTTATCAAAAGTCACTTGTTGAAGTTTTATTATATCACATTGATCATTAAAGAGCAAAGGTAAATTTATGCAGGAAATGGTCCCGTCCTTGTAATATGTCACCCTTAACTTAAAAGTTTCGAATTTCATAATTTAACAGGGCAAAAAAGAGACAATGTAGAATCCTATTTGGAATGTTAATGTAAATACGGTAATATTCGTTAAGTATGATCAGGGATATTGCAAATCAATTGATATAGCAAGCTAAGATCCCCAGCTATATTATTTTAACGAATATATCCCAGTGACTTAGTTAACAAACAATGATAAAAATATATAAATCAATAAATTTAAAAAAAAGAAATGATTGTATATATATAAGAACTCACACATCCTGTTTCAATGAATTGCTTTGCGCCGGCGTAGAATTTTTCTTTTAACAAAGCCAGAAAGATGAGTCCAAACAGCCCAGAAATTGAGGTTTCAAGCTCTTTACCTAAGGTAGTCAAATATATGGAGATAAAGAAAAGTATTCACGATCAAAAGTTCATTAAACAAAACAATATTGAAACAGAGTAAACACTGGTCTCTAAAACACCAGAGAGATAATCAGTGAACAAAAGAGATAATCTTTTATTCTAAATCATATACTGAAAGGAAAAAGAAACGCAGGGTAGCATAATTTTCGATAAAAATTTGACCACATGACCGAAAATTACGAAAATTGGTCAGAAGGGCAATTTAGTTACTGTGCATCACTATCAGTATTCAGAATTACTCAAGCGCAAAATTTATGACGTCACGTAGGGAAAACGCTAAAAAGCCCAAAACACGTGAAATTTGATAACAACGAGTTTGTCAACAAATCTTGTTGCATTATTTGATGCATATGAAGTTTGCACATCGTTTTTCAGTATTAAGAGACATTGTGAATTGATTGCAATCTTTGCAAAGTTTACGGAAGTTCAATGGGGTCTTATTTTCGAATTGCCTGATTAATGAAAAAGGCAACAATGGTTAACTAGGCAGTTTCTTGTAAATTTCCCCCCATTAAACTTGTTACCCGTTGTCAGAGAGGGTCTGGAGTGGTTTTCAGTCAACCGTGACGATGACGTTTACGCGAAACAGAGCCATGTTACCAGCGGGTAATTCGTTCTGCCATCTCTTAAATCGCTGCCTTACTAACACAAAAACAGCCATTTATAGAGTAGATGATTATAATCATTACATTCATACGAAATTTGAAAGAAAACAATTCCGCAATTTGGTTTTTTGAGCCAGTCAACTTACAGTTGTTTTCCTTTCACTGGCGCATGCGCACGCCATTGGACCTAATTTTTTGCCTGGTTACCCATGCTAAATATAGCCAGGGTTTGAAAAATAAACAATCTGATGAAATTTCATGCAAAGGAGAAATAAGACTATGACAAATGCGCGAGATAGACATTGAAGATAACGGGAGTTCTCGATTTTCACTTTTAGGGGGTTTCGTCATTTGAGCTTTAATAACTCATGAATAATTAGACAAAATCATATGAGCATTTGGTTATATCTTTTTGAAAGATGATTTTGAAAGGTAGATAGAAAAACTATAAAGTATTTTGAGAAAAACAAATTTAATTCACCTCAAAAGTTTACCCTGCGTTTCTTTTTCCTTTCAGTATATCAATAGCAGGGGAACAAAAAACATAAATCACTAAAAATATTTGATTTCAATTTTAGGAATTTATTAAAAAGCAAACCAAGTTAAACTTTACAACTTAGAATTAAGCATGATTTTCTTTGTTTTTTACTTCCAAGAATGATTCAAAATTATTATTGTACTTAACTTCCACGCATTGATAGTTGATATCGCAAAATTTCAAAATACATCTCTGTATTTCGATCTTAGCCATTTAAAAATATTTGTAACAAGGCCATCTTTTAATAAAAAGTTTAGTCGTTTTCTCCGGCCGATAAAATAAAAATTGCTTGACCCAATTTTTTTAAACATTCCAGGCCATAAAAAATATATTTAAATTTCTGTCTTATTCCACCTATAAATATGTTTATAATTGTTCAATCTATGAATATGTTTAACATTTCAGGAGAAAAAAAATAACCACTGACCGATCTACCCCATAAGTTTACCAAAAGTCGGAAGAGAGAATTTAACATTACTTTAAAGATGTTTGAAAGGGAAATAAATAGCGGAATAAAACAATACCGTTCCAAACAGGTGGCTCATATACATCGTTAGTTGCTTCTTTTAAATCTTCCCAAAGACCATTTTTGAAGTCCTCTGTCATGTTCTTTTAAAGAAATGCATAGAATATAAAAAGAATGTTCAAGAAAAGAAAATCTGCAAACGTTTCTCTCAAGATACATGTATATATGTATTATTTTCTTTGGGTCCGAAGATAAGCAGATACAAAAAAAATGTTTAATAAAGAAAATTATAATTATGTACTTATATGAAATATTACATACCTTTTCAAAAATATATTCAATGGACCGATGACTAAAAAAGTGTTTGATGCAGTCCTTCGGAATTTTCCATTTCCCACTTTTTAGAAGATACATGCAAATAGGATTGGCATATTTTTCCTGAAATCATATTTTTTTAAAATACATGTAGCTCTTTTTGCTGTTTTCCGATCTAACAATAAAGTTTTGATATGAGGTTCTTTTTATCTTACTATCACATATTTCTATGCCTACATGTACCTTGAAATCCATTGGAGCTCTTTCTGTCATGCAAACTGTAAAAAGCACATTTTATAAGACAGATCAATGTCATAATTTTATTATATAGCTAATAAATTGTCTCTAATTAAATACAACCAAAAATCTAACGAATTTTAACGCTCAATATCTAGATGTTTTATTGAAAGCTAACTTTGTATTTCAAATATGAGTATGCCCGAAACATTCCGAATACGAGCGTTCAATATCAAACGCCCCGTTGTAAACAAAAAAAAGTCGTCCGGTCAAATTCTCAGAGCTAAATCAAAGAAAAGAAGTGGCATCTGTGTAAGATGTGTTTATTTTTCACACACAAAATGTAATTATTTATTAAAATATAGTACCTATTCGACCCATTAAAACCTGAATAAGCAAATTATATCGCTCGGTAGGGTCATCGGAATGATGCGATATTGAACGCTAACAGAGCAGACGTTAATTTGAACACCGATACCGAAAAATCAGTAAATTGAGGGGTGTTTAGTTGGAATAATTATAATAAATAATGTGAATATTTATTAGCTACATGTATATAATAAATGAGTGATTGAACTTTTATTGGTGAATATTGGCACTTGTTGGCTCTTCAATAACCCTATAATATTTGACTTACTTGATAATTTATCATATTATTAATACACTGAAAAAAAACATTATGTTAGTTTTACAATAAGACACCTAAAGGCATGCTGATGTATATGATAGTTATATTTGATACTTTTATCATAGGCCCTATATATCATACTTCTACCAAAGAATTTATAAAAATCCTAAACACGTCGAAAAGAACAAAGGTAACCATATATGTGTTATTTCCTATAAACTAACGACAACTGTAATGTGCATTGTGTCATTTCTACGATACGGACTTCTTCTCTTCAAGATATTTAGTTAAAAATCACTCTAAGGATCCTCTCCAAAATACACATTAATCAGTTTAATTTTCATTATACTTTAATGCGCTAAATTTTATTTATATTTTACGTATCCCCCAACCCAAAGTATGAGAATTGAAGTAGCGTTTCAATTTTATAAATACGTACCGGCAATAACAGTACAACAAACTATTGTATCCAACTCGTAAAGATCATGTGGCATTTCATCAGTATTCGATATTTCATTTGCGTCTTTGAGTGTGGACACATCAAAACGAAACACTTGAGCGTCGTATTCCATTTTTACTTTCCAGGGAATATCAACATTGAATAAATACTTCGTTGCTAATAGAACACGGCTATATTCCTCTTTGTTGTGATGGTCCCCATAATGGTCAATTAACGTTACAGTTGGATCTTTTGTAGATTTCTTGAAAAAAAAAATAAAAATAATGTATATATTTTACCTCATATTTGTATGGTAAGCCCGATATAAAGTTCAGAATACCAGGTTTGAGGGTGCATACAAAAAAAAAAAACCCAACGCATGGGCATACATTACTTTTTGGCTGATTATGAATGAAAATGATTTGAATAATCAATCCCTTATTATACATCAATATATTTTGGTCCTTATGAAAGCCACTTTGTATCGCTTTCCAAGTCATTCTTTTCAAAATTTGGCACACATTTTTAACATTGTGACAGCATTTTCAAAATTGTCACACTAACCTGAAAATGGGACATATTGAGATTATGATGTTATGATATTATGATTATGATATTGATGAACAGTATTCAAGATCAAAAGTCCATAAAACCAAACACAAACCTTCAAAACATCAGAGGTAGAATCATATGCATGTTGCCTATTTGAATATCAATTTATGAGAGAAATATTGCCGACTTCTGCACACACACACACCCAAAAAAATTGTAATCCTAAAAAGTAAAACTAGTCACTTTATTAAACATAATTTATGTAAAACCTACCCTGGAAGATAATATAGGAAATTTCATGTCAACAGCATAAGCAACAATTTCTTGTTGAAATCCGCCGTTATCCAGTGATAAGGCAACAGGGAGTACCACGTGACCAGAGTAAGCTGTAAAAATACTCACATATTAACAGAAAAAAAATTACTAATTATTATTTTTTGTTTAAGTAATGAATTGGAATTATTCAATTTTATTGTCAATCTTATCAATTGAATGCCTGCGAAGTCTAATAAAAAGGGTAAATAAATTTTGTAGTTTGACTGAGACTGAACCTGGTGTATCAAGATTAGATTTCAAACTAGATTAAAACTGAAAAAAGCAATCTACTTAAATTGACATTGAAAAATGAAAACAGTTTTGAGGAAAGTTTCAAAGAAATTAAACAACCTCCCATCCCAAACACTTGTGATTTCACAGTTTCTGTAATTTTTATATTGACTATTCTTATCATATACAGTACCTTCAGTCATGCGTTTGAAATATTTAATTTCATTTTCTTTGTATTTCGAATCGCCTCTTTCGAACGCATATTCTCCCATTTTAATTAACATCTACATGGAGAAAGAACAATTGAAAATATACAGTGCTTGTATAGGTCTAAAACATTTCAAGATAAATACATTCAACCTTGCATGTTCTATGAATATGCTTTAACATACAAAGATACATTTCAACTTACCATGATTAAGAAATTAATTTAATAAAGCTATCAATATTACACTTAGCGTTTTATCTAATTTTATAGCAATTAGCGTATGACAAATTATAAATTTCCCCCTTGATTATTTCAATAAATTACATCAATTTGAAACCGTCAAGCAAATGGATGTTTATACGTACAGGAGCCAATATGACCTACGCCACAGGGATTTTACATTATACATTTTTTTCAGCCAATGAATACATGTAAGTACGTTTCAATGAGTTAAAAGAATATTACTTGTATCGTTTCCTTAGTTGTTCTCTGGTGAATGATAACTTTATCCTGAAAGAACATCGTCTTCTCAACGATGTCCAAACATGGCAGCCCTGATTTTTCTAATAAAAAATCAATAAAATATTTTCACTGAAAACAATCTAATAAACAAACAATTTTGAATTATTATTCCTCATTATTCTACATACCAGAGACACTTCTTATGATACGCAGCAGTTTGCTTCTGTCCTGCATGATTTTTTCTTCATTATCTTCTTGTTCACTCTCTACATCTTTGTAAGGATTACTCGCGAACAGTAGATATGGTAAAACTTTCTCCTGCTTTATATGGGCCTCGTTCTCGTTTAACCAGAAGTCGACGGAAATCTGAAACATTATGTGAAATAAAACTCTAATAGTAATTGTCTTGTTATATTTGTTTCTGTTAAGAAAATGAACACACAATGATAACAAAATATATAATTTATATATCGATGAAGATAGAAATCAAACTATTTTTTTTTATTATTTTTTAATTATTTTGTATATCAAGATTGCATTATCAGAAAAAAGCTGGAAGACTGAGTGAAAAATGTATCCAATATCTACTTAAAATTATATTTATGGCAATATTTAGTGGCAAAATTCACTCAATTATTTCTCTAATCATCTAGTAAGCCACTGATCCCTTTGCGTTAAAAGTCGCAGAACAAGGGATGTTCATGGAATGAAAATGAACGATTATTTGTCAACTTTTGTGAAATAATAATACAAGATGCCCTATGCAGTAAATATTTTGTTCTTTTTTTAAAATTAATTCTTCGCTTTACCCTTCCCAAACGAGGTTAAATTTGAAATGGTTAAAATAGAGCAGAGTGTAGTTTCTGAAACAAAATTCCTACTGCAGTTTCAAATAACGATTGAAGTAAAAATTGTTTTGCATTGCGAAATGGTGAAAACAACATGATACATTCAACCTTCCACATATTACAAACTGAGTTCTCAAACTAAAGAAATATGATGTGTGCGTTCTGCTCGTCTTTCAATTAAGATTTGTAAATCTGCTAAAAGTTGACAGCTTATCAGTGAAATGATAAAAAATCTTCTTGTAAGTGTAATTTACCCAAATTTTGTTAATTTAGGGCATTGTAGCTGCAGATTCTAATCAAGGAACATTTTTAGTAAACAGAATACCAACAAAATAAAATTTGTTAAAACTGTCTAGTACATCTATTCAACCCAAAAAGACACAAGAAAGGGATGGAAAAGAACAAAAAAAGAGAAGGTTTGAAAAAATGAAACACAAAATATTCAACTGAGTAAAGAAATGATTATAAAATTATAATAATTCTTCTTATATCTTTAAAGCAGCACATAGTTTACTTTTAATAAATATGTTTTCTTTGCATATATAGTGGACAAAAGATAAGAATTACCAAGGTACGTATATTTCAAAAGATATATTTGACCATTAAATTAAAATAAAGTTTTGATTTTAGAATTACATTCTACATTAGAAGTTTAACAAAATAAATAGAGAATTTGATTTGTTTGTTCAAAAAACAAGCAACGAATTATTCCATTGGGCCACCCTTAAATTCGTTACTTTAGGTATCGACATAAAATTAAGAAATTTTAAGAAAAGTCAAATCATTTTATGAAAAGGAAAGTCATTATTTTGCAAGACCTTCCAGTGAACGATGATTGATTTATGTCACCACCCGATGTTTCCAATAAACCACGCAAAGCTATCATGTAGGATCTTTTGTCAATCCTCCTTCGAGGCTGATTGACGCTTCTATTCAATTAGGAAAAATAATGAGCGAACTAAAAATGCATTCCCAAAGAACGTTTCATGCATTTGTATTATGTAAATAGGTTTCAGATCGGAAGAACAACTAGGTCATTTCACATGCCCCATCAAAGCGTTTTCTGATATGGTATGGCTAGCAATAGGATCATTTCTCATGTTGATGAAAGAAAGAACTCTTTGACATCCATATGCTCTCATTGGTCCATTAAATGTTTTAGCGCAAAGAAAACTTTGTCACAAAACACATCAATCACGTGTTACTCAAGCACAAAATCTTATTAATGAGGTTTTTTAAGGATTTGTTTTATTGTCGCATAAATTCAAAGGTATAGTAATATTTTTCTTGTGCATAAATATGATTCATACTAATTCTTTCAAATATAAATATATTCATACTGCTGAAATATACTTGTCATGCATTTATAGGTTATTTCAGTTAAAATACATGCAATACTGGAAATTTGTTATTTGTTAAAAAAAAAACAGGTGCTTCTTTTTATCCGAAATTGCATAATTATATTTTAATGACATACATGTAGTTCGTTTCCATTACATAAAAATAACAATCCGTATTTTTTATATGTTGCAACTTCTCTTTGCAGATGACAACAATACTATCTAAAGGTAATATGGTTAAAACAAAGATGAAAGAGTTTCCTTTTAAATTTTACGCATACCTTTGTTTTATCATCCCCAGCTTTGATATATCCATGCATATCTGAAACCACACATCACATAAATATGCGACGTTAAATGCTAAAATTTATTTTTTCTCTTAAGGTTTTTACTATAATTTTTTTTTATTATATTGTTTCTTTAATAACATGATAAGAATATTTTTTCGAGATCAAAATAAACTCCGTTGTGTACAGTAATTATGTTTTCTTTATACAGGTAACTCTCGAAACCTCGAAGTCCGCGGGACCGATGGAAAACTTCGAGAGATCAAGAGTTCGAGTTTTCAAGAGTCCGGATTTTTCCGGGTTTGTTTGACGGGTTTTAAAATAAGTCATACCGGATGTAATGATTTTCATGCAGTTCTAACATTTTACACGTGGTTTTTACAAAACAACGATATGTTTTTGTATTTTAAGTGAATATTTATTAAACTGAGTAAAGCAAAAAATGTACATCGTCAGCTAGTGTTTTTAATTTTTTTTATTATCATACGGATATCATTCTACTCATTCGTTATATAATGAAAACGGCATAGACCAGCGTCGCGCGTGGTACATAGCATTGTGACTTTTCCAAACATGTACATTGAACGAAATTCTGTATGAATTTGTCCAAAAAAGTCGTCATATTGACAGCGAGGCTGTTTCTGAATTTTCATATTTCGTTAAACTTTGAAACGATTTGAAATTAGAAAATTAGTTCATTGTACTTGTTTCGTCTCGTAATCTGCAATTACAATTTCTCAGCGACACTATGTTTCTGAATTATCATAATACAGACGATGATAATTAGTTTGATAGCATATAGGTACAATGATATTAATTACAAATCAATTATCCCCTTGCAGAATAAGTGTCAACTAAATAAACATCCCGTCTCACGAGACCCGCGTCTTATGCCTGCGGTCATTAAATGGCCAGGTAAAGTTGCTAATTATGTAACTTCGTATACACAAAGCCACTTCGAGGTATCAAGGGTGAATTTCAATAGAATATGTATAGCGGGACTGAAATTTTACTTCGAGAGATCAAGGGTTTTGAGAGATCAAGAGTTCGAGAAATCAAGAGTAAATTTGCTTAGCTATATAGGGAAAAAAATTGGGACCGGGGACTCACTTCAAGCGATCAAGAACTTCGAGAGATCGAAGTTCGAGCCATCAAGAGTTACCTGTATTGAAAGCGTAAATAAGAGCAATTATCAATTTAAAATACCAATTTTCTTCAATTATGTTTTGTGTCAATTTTTGACAAATATATTCAATCATTTAATATGGGGTAGATTATTTTTTAAGGTTTTGTTACATTTTATCAATTACAAAACAACACACATATAAATACAAGTTGATATATAAATTTTAACTCAATAACATCAGGTCATACACTGTATACAGGGTGTTTCAGAAAACATGCAACCATTTTCATCGATTAGATTTTAATTGCGTTTTGACCAATACCATGCCCCATCATATCTAATTAAAAGTCACAACTTCAAGATTTATTCTTAAAAAAAATAAAGTTAATACGGCAAACAGAAAATGAATTAAAAAAGAAAAAAGAAATTAGTTAAATTTCACTATAGTTTAAAAATATGCTCTAAACGGCGTCATTTGTGCTGAAAGAAAAAAATCTATCCGATGCAAGAAAGTTCTCATTACTTTTGCAAAGAGTTTCGTGGAAATGAATAAGGTTTCATTTTTCAGACTATTTTTGAGTTCTTTTCTTTTCTTTTTTTTAATTTTTTTTTTTTTTTTGGGGGGGGGGGGTTGAACACTTTGACCATTAAATATCCCCGTAGATAAAAGTCAAGGGGTGTTAAGTCAGGTGAGTGTGGAGCTCAGTTTAATGATTTTGAAAGAGTTGAATGGTCCTGCTAACATATGTTCTACCAAGTCCAAAGTTTAAGATTCAAAACGTACATGTATCTCAACATCTGATCAACACTTTACTCACTCATTTGTTCACAACTCGGTTATTTCAGAAAAGGATTGTACGTGAGTCTCTGGATCAATGCCTCTTTAGTAACATTCAAAATGTTTTAATGTGTTCTACTTTTTAACCTCAACTCCCTTTTCTTTGATCAAGTTTTAACTATTCCATTGGCTACAGAATTGAACAGATTTATACAACTTCCACTTTATATTGCTATCAGTAAGTTCTTTGCATTCTGTAAACCTTATTTCTATGCTTTACCGTAATAAAATGAACTGGCGACATGCTCTGATTAAGCAGTATCGGTATTCCTGATGATTGATTTTTATTGAATTAAATATTTAAAATGTTGAACTCGTTTTTTTTCAGTGATGTCAAATATGACGTCATAATTTATCAAAATGGTAATAATTTTCAAAAATTTTGATATTGATAAAAACTTGAGGCCTTTTAGCATAGTTTTATATAAGACTTTCAATTGATACTGCTTGCATATCAATATTGTGAGGAAATTAAATGGTTGCATATTTTCTGAAACAACCTGTATATGGTATGAGTGTTAAATACTTTTTTGATTTTACAAAATGTCTCCATTTTAAGGTTATCTGATCCTTAGCTAGGAATAACAAATCTTCAGTTTATAATTTCATTTAAAAAGTCTCAAAATGAAGCTTGATTTTTTTCATGCCGCTATTTTTATTTTTTTACCTCTAAACTGTGCATCAAGGTTCTTTTAAATTCTCAGAAATACATATTCTATTCAAGAAAAAAAGGATAAAAACAGATAAAAAAAATAATAATAAACTAAATCTTTTACCGTTTTGAAGTTTTGGCAGATGAGCAGGATAAAAGCTTAAAGAAGGAAATGATTCTAGCAGTTTAAGATCTGTGAATTTCCATCCGCTCTTTGGAAAATCATTGCTGTCCCATTTCACAGAAACTACACTCCTCCCCGTGTTAACTTTGTAATCGGTGATCCTGGATATTGTTCCTTGTCTTGTTTCTATTTAAGAAAAATCATATACACATCAATTAAAAAGAAAAAAAAAACTTTTATCCCCCCTCTGCTATGTCCAAAGTGCTTACCGTTTGAACTTTCAATTTTGCATACAGTTGCACCTTCAAATAGTCCAAGTGCTTGGATCTTATTTTCTGATGAAAGCGCCGATCGAGGTTGATTTAATTTTTCTCTACGAATAGATCGAACAAATAGTCAGTAAATAAATGATTGTCATCAGTGAATTAAAAAAAAACTTAATTCCTTATGTAAACAATCATCAATAGTGGCTAAATCACAGTTCCTAGAAATTTCCAATAAATTGAGATTATTAATGATTTAGAGGTTGTTAAAAAGAAATATCCCTAAAAAGTAGAAGTTATTGCTCTCCGAAACCCAAAAGATAAAAAAGAGGAAAAGTTTTCATTTCTTTTTTGCAAAGTTCTATCCAGTGAGTTCTCTTACCTTTTAGAAGGATCTACCATTCGGCAGAATTTCAATTTCATCTCTCCTCTACCAGACATGTAACATCTTGAACACAGGTCATAATTTTTGCTTTCACACTTCCATCGCACGCCCTTCATTCTCCTTGCACATTCATCACATCGAATGTTACTGTGTTCAATACCTGTAAAATTAAGCTAAATATTGGAAAAATTCTCTTTTATAAAGTGGACACTCTCGATATTCATTCAATCATTTCTTGATTCTGCTATTTAATTGTCGGAAGTGCGAATGCAAATGATGAGTTACATGTATATTCAGGGAGCACACGTTGCGTGTTACCGATCGAGAGGGTATGCCAAATCAAACATGGCACCAATTCTGCGGCTCCGTTTATCCAATCTTTTCCGAAAGACTGGTCTCCATGTCTCACAATGGGATTCGAACCCGCTAAGTAAGGATCAACACCTTATACCAAAAAAAAAATTTAACCACTACGCCATGTATGCCATTAAAACTTTAATCATTAAGAAAAACTCCTTTTTAAAGTAAGAAAAGCAGAATATTAATCTACAGAGATGTATAACAGATAATAGTTTACCTGTTTGACTGTTATCATAAAGAAATATTGTTTTCTTCTTCCCAATTTCTTTTATTTTTCCGTCACCATCCCACTGTACTAAGAATTTTGAATCTTTTCCTGTCTGGATAAAAAAATACCCCAATATTACAAAAAAAAAGCGAAATTTAAATCAACCCTTAACATTGTACGAGAATGCTCTAAAGGTAAGATTAATAATTCGTTTTTATGATAAAAGTATGACAAAAAGAATGTCTTATTGTGAGTTTGCTTATTTGTTGCATTTCAAAGTTATTAATGATGATTATCCGTTTAATATGATAGGCTATGTTGTAAAATATTATTATCGTATATTCTCTATCAAGTGTAAATAAAATTTATTTCTGGTTTGTTTTGTTGATTTTTATACAGACGATGAGTATGTTTAGATATGTAACAGGAATACGAATAAACGATATCTTTGAAAAATATATATATTTTAAAAAATCGTACTTCATTTGAAATTACTGTTCCGACATATTGTTCCTTCTTTCCTTTTCTGTATTTTGCAACCACTCGCATTCCAGGTTTTGCATTTTCTATGGAGAAAAAAAAATTGTAACCCTGAAAATTATGACAATGATTGTAAATCTGAGATATTATTGAATAATTAACCTACTCAAAAATAATATAAGCATTTTATGTTTTGCTATTATTTTTTGTTTTATCATCTATTAAATAAGTTTTTTTAGTGATTTTTTTTTTGCTTTCAATCACTGTATTTGATATTCCTAAAAGAGGTATACATGTACTAAAGTCTTCGTTTGTTTAATTGGCGTTACGGGTTTTGAATCTGAATTTGTTTTACGAACCACTTGTTATAATCTCCAAATGTTCTTCATAATACTTCAGTCCTTTTCCTGGAGTTACGCACTTCAAATCTACTTTCCCTTTCCTTCCAACTTTGTAACGTTCCTCGCTTTTTGTGTCATCCCAATTCACGAACGCATCGCAGTTAAATAGACTGGATTCTTCATTATTTAGTTCCTCCACTGTTCCTAAAAATAATCATTCTTAACAATAACAAACGTTGGTGTCAAAAGCAATCATGGAGAGTCTTTGAAAATACATGCTATATTCCACAACCTCATTTTTTTTATTCTATGTGTGTATATTTATCAAACATTCAAATAAATTAGATTGTTTGTTTTTTTTTAAAGTATGCAATTAAGGTTCTTAAAATGCACAAGTTGACATTGCTATATTTTTCTATTAATCTTCTTGTGTGTGTACATGATTTAAAAGAAAAAAATATCATATATATATATATATATATATATTATTATAACAGTAACTTGATCCGAAGGATCGTATCACGTCGAGTTGAGAGGCGAGGATCATCAGATCTAACGAGACTCGAAGCGTCGAGTGTGATATGATGATCCGCGCCTGTCAACGAGACGTGATACGGCTCTTCGGATCAAGTTACTGTTATAATGATAAATTTATTATATACCCCCTCATAACTAGCAAAATATTGCAAAAACTTTAGAGATCAATCGTATAACATTTATCCATAAAAGAAAGCGTAATAACAAGGGCCTTTTTAACATGCAAGAAAAATAACGCCATATTTCTTCGTACTACGTCATCAGTTTCAGAGAGTGGTGATATGGATTCAGACAACAACATGTTGGTGATCCGGAAAATCGGATCACGACGTCACGTGATAGCGTAAATTCAACAGTAAAATTGGGTGATACACATTACGTATATAATAAAAATAGGTATTAATTAGTAATAGAATTCATCAGAAATTTAATTTGTTTCTGTTGTTTAGAAGTAGAGAAACTGAATTATGAATCAAAATCAAAAAAGTTTTCTTTAGTTACCTTTTATGTTATTGTCTCTTCTTAAAACGACTTTTGCACCGGGAAATATCCCACACACGCTTTTATGGCTGTTATCTTTGGAATCCATTCCGCGAACACCAACTTCAATACTTCATTAGATAAAAATGATTTAAATCTCTCTATCTCCAATAAACATATTTTATAAGAAAAAGATTTTTACCTGACATTAATATTGAAAATGCATGTACATGACTTACGTCCTGGAATTATTGTCTAGTTTTCTGTGAAATGGGTGGTTAATATTATGCTTATCCTGCATGTAGCAGCGTGTACATAAATCATAGTCTTTGCAATAAAGACATCTCCATTTGATACCACGTATTGGATATTCTCTGCAATTATCACATTCGTGGGCTTCATGCTTAGCTCCTTAAAATAAAGAACAGGTTGGTGAGTTTAATGAATAGATTTAAAAAAGAACTATGTATTTATTTGCAAATATCATAGTCACAGAAAATATATATATAATGGATTTAGTAAAGAAAATTACACTGTTCTTTTGAGCTTTAACACTGTTAGTTATCTCAATGTTTTTCATTACAGAACAAAATTAATTTTCTTGAATGTATAGCTATCAATTTTTATATCTGAATGTAAGGCAACATCTATAAATATATCATTTCTGGTTCCAGTATATTAGTTTCTTAGTAAGGTATGCTACAAAATTACCAGTCTGAGCATTGTCAAAGAGCTGTAGGTTGTACTGGACAGTTTCGCCTGTCGTATCCTGTACGTTATATTCCTCTGGGTCATCTTCTGAATCCCAAAGCACGAGGACTTTGTTATCTTCAGTATGGACTACGGTTCCAATGCAGTTTCTTCTTTTAGTACTGCTGTTATTTCTAAGGACCTCTGGATTTTGCACAACCCTTTGTCCTTGTTTGATTTTATCTAATTGAAATTAAAGAAAATAACGTTCTTTTTTTCAAGAAAAGTTATACTCTTTATTAAAAAAAATATGTTTCTCTAAATTAAGAAAAAATGTGAATTCTATGCTATAAGCAAATTACTAATTAGTTACTGTAAATCGTTTTAATTCTACGGCGATAAAAGTTCACGATATCTCAAAAAGTACCATTTGCGATGGTTTTTTTTTCACATTTCAAAAAATTAATTCAAAATTTCGTGTAAGCAATTTAACATAAGTAAAACCTAATAACAATTATTCGCGGAAAACTAATTAATTGCAAACATAGCGAAAGAACAAGGTTCACTTTTGCCTTATTTGGCCCTGTGAATTTCTGAAAAACTGAAACTGCATAATTTTAGTTAACATTTGCATTAAATATCACGTAGATCTTTGGTGACTGTGTATCAATAAAAAGTGACGTCATATTCTGGGAAGTCAGTGCATTATGACGTCACGAAATGCGTCAATTTCCTCATATTCTGAAAAAAGTGTACAAAAACGGCCAATTTTTAAAGCTATTTCTTGTTATTTGATATAGAGCGCACTCTCTGATCTAAAATATGCAACTAGTTAATGATAGAACTGTTTCTGAGGATTAATTGACATGTTGAATTTTTTTAGATCAGAGAGTGCGCTCATATTATTTTTCTTCACTGAAAGTACTCAATTTTACCTGTTTACATAGAAATTCAAGAACATTGCAATTTCAAAGAGCCAGTTCTCCAAGACCTGAACTTTTAGGAGAAAGATTTTAATAGGATATCAATTCTCTACTTTACTTTAAAGCTTCAAATAGAGAATCAAGTGTTAATAAATTAATTAGTATATCTATAGGGCCATTTAATGCGTAAAGTGAACCAACTTCTTAAAACCATCGTGAATTTTTCTCAATCTACAGTGTTCAATGTAATTCATTAATATAATAATTAAAAGAACCCACCTCCCTCGTATGCCTCGGATATCCTAAATCCTGCAAATGTTTCACAGTCATAGATCTTATCTTTAATCGTAGGGTGGTCCTGGATATCCTAGATAAAACATAATTTTTAAATATACATGCATAATTTTATTTTTTAATGTATAAAATTTTTTATAAGTCGATAGAACATTTATCGTAAATGTTATGGTTAATATCAAATTATCATTCCTTGAAGATAATGGTATACTAGTAAAGTAAAAAGCTTATGACTGCTCACCCCTTTCCTCTGTTTATCTACATTGTCATCAGAACTGTTCCATTTCTTTCATTATTTGTATTTGATAAAAAAAAATCATTAAAACGTTACACGCAGTACCTCGGATAATGCTGATATTAAATAACTAATGTAAATCTAATTGTAAGACTTCAATTGATTGGATAAAAGATTTGATCTATATCATATAACATAGGCTATATGTGTCACCTTGAGGTACATCAAAAACGAACTACTCCTTTTGAATTGCACTCGTTGAAATTAAATTATGAGAAATAATCTATGCTATAACCTAATTTAGGGTATTTTTAAATAAACTGACCTCGTCATATGATCCAGAAGAATCTTCGTCGCTGCTGTCTTTTGAATAACCTTCATCTTTAAAGACTTTTTTCTGGAAGAGGATCTTATATTTTATTTTTCAACTTTTGCACTATGTAAGATTTCCGGTTTTATACCATGTTCATGCCTAGGCAATATTATTTCTTTCAATATTTAATTCAACAAGGGTTTCAGATTGAAAACGATTGTAGGAATCTTGTAATCAGGTACAATTGACAAAAAATAAAAGTTAGTAGAGTTCTGCTATTTCTTTAGGTTAGACGACATGTTCCTTAATTTTTAAAATATTTTTCTCAAGAACTTTCACTGTATTTAAACAGGTTTTTCTCACAAAATGAGGGTACCTTATCAGGCAATTGGTCTAGATACCCACAGTGTGATATTTCTTATATAACCCATGTAAGTAATCCTCTGAATGGCCTATATCATTTTTTTGTTATACATGTATTAGAAAAAATCCTAAAAACAGACGTATAATATTCCCAATAGAATGCTATGGATATTTTTTTTCCAATAATGTATTTGAGAAATATGTCGCATTACGTTAAAATAAAGATAAGAATATCAATCAAACAGTAGTTTAGCCACCCGCTCATCCAGTAATTACACCCCCACCCCAACCCCACCCCACCCCACCCCCCCCCCCCAAAAAAAAAAAAATCTTACCTCATCTTGATCTGAACTAATCTCTTTGTCTTCTTTAAGATGGTCATTTTTTTCCTAGAACATTAGATTTGAAATGAAAATTGTTATCGTCAATTTTGACCATGTTAATTTAAAATGTCTTTTATATTAAGCGCTAAGTTTTGCCTGCTTCTCTTCCTATTCGAAGCCCACTTCGGGGGTAGAGACCAGCCCTTCGGATGAGACCGTATATACCGAGTTCTCTTGTCACAGTAAGTGCTGGCACGAAAAAGATCCCTCCCTTGTCAATGGCCCTGAGTGCCGAGCATTGGACAACATTTGTAGTTCTCCACCCGCAGGTAGTGACGTCGCAATATGATTGAAAAATCCTCGAGAGGGACGTTAAACAATATACAATCAACTCGAAAGACGTTAAATAACATACAATCAACTCGAGGGACTTTAAATAATATGCAATCAATCAATCTTAAAGGTAGATGTTTTTTGAATTTTAGAAAATGTAAATTTATGAAAACATATATTCAAGAAAAGAACAAATCAGGTCATGCAAAACCCTGCTTTTGTCCATTTTCCGATTTTTTTTGTCACGATGTCTGTTTAATACAACGGCGTATTAGTGCCATTTTAACCATGTAGATATTTTTTTTTAAATCGTTTGAACGATTTAATAAATCATTTATACGATTTAGTAAATCGTTTGTACGATTTAGTAAATCGTTTGTATTATTTAGTAAATCATTTGTACAATTTAGCAAATCATCTGTAAAATTTATTAAATCGTTTGTACAATTTGTTTGTTAAATCGTTTGTACAATTTATTAAATCGTTTGTACAATTTATTAAATCGTTTGTTCAATTTATTAAATCGTCTGTACGGCTTAATAAATCGTTTGTACGATTACATAAATCTTTTGTAAAATTTAGTAAATCGTTTGTACAATTAAATAAATCGTACAAACGATTTATTAAATCGTACAAACAATTTATTAAATCGTACAAACGATTTATTTAATTGTACAAACGATTTATCAAATCGTACAAACGACTTTAAAAAATCCATCATTGTTAAAATGGCACTAATACGCGTCGTAGTTTAAGATATTTGTCAAACATTGGAAAATTTACGAAAAAAATTATGAATTGTTTGATATTCTCACATGGAGATAATTTTTAGAGTTTCACAAATAATGCACTACTAGCATGCTCATACTTGTTCGCAAAATAACTTATCATATACATGTATGTTTGTGTGCGTCTATCAATCTCCGCTGCAAGTACATTTTAAATTCCAATTAACATACTTATTTTGCACCAAAGTAAAGTTTCCTTTCAAATAAATTTTCACTCACATTGAGTGGCCACTACTTATTCACGCGTACATAGAGACGCCCATGCTGGACATCCAATTTTGAGCGATGTTCGGAATCCAGGGACATAGAATGGTGATTTACCTTTCTCGTGCTAGCACCTACTGCAACATATGTATAGGGCCCTGGTATAATCAGTCTCACACAGTTAGAATCGACGTAAGATTTAACTCTTTACCATGCGACTCTAGAGCACGCGCTCTGCTACTATGTAACACATGCAGCCAGTTTAAAATTTGAAAAAAAAGATAATGAAATTACATTAGTTTCTTCTGAATTGCTGTCCTCATTTTCTTCTTCATGCCCAATGTGTATCTACAATCAAAGTAATGGATACTTTTACAATCTTTACTAATTCTAAGCCAAAGTACCTTTTACAAATTACGGTGATAAATGAAACCCTAAATTGAAGCGTTCGTGTACGTATGTCCTATAATTAGATATAACTACAAACTGGTAACATATATTTAATGACTTTGACCTCAATTATCACGACGAAATGAAGCTGTTAGGAATAATATAAAGACTGCAGTAAGTTATTTTACATAGTGTATGAATGTAAAAATATAAATAAATCTTACTTTACTTTCTCGCGTGTTATCTTCCATTCTGTTTCCTTCTCAGACTTCGTTATCCGTCCACTATACTAAGATTTAAAGCATTGATAATTATTGTGCTTATTCGTTTTATTAAAACTTTGCAAAACATTGAAATATAAAAAAAAATGGTGAAGTTATCATTACAATCAGATTGGTTAAAAATGGCTTTTAATAAAACCATATTATGCAGAAATTGGTATCCTTATTGTGTCATGGTGTGCTATAAATCCTTTTTATATACATATCAATAACTTTCGATCAGCTATTGTTATCATGGTTCATCATTTCGTTTGAAAGCTTTATTACGATGGGTAATAATTAGGAATGTATTTCAGTTTTGTCTGAGTTCTATTGGTGTGTTAAGCACAAAGCATTGTCAAGTAGGCATATTTCATGAAGCAACTATAATGCACTAGATATTTGATTTTCTTGCTGGCCTATATTTTCATTTTAACTCATGTTGCTCGTTAAGGCACGTTTCGTTTTTACGTGTAATTTTCTACGTAAAAGTAAAAATGGAAATTGTAATCAAATCAATTTCACAGTTGGCTTTGTAGAAAATTACATCATATGTTAGTTTTCATATATGTAGATAATTGTCTAGGTTTATGTTAAACATCTTTAACAATTTATCAATCCTTTGACACAAATACGCAAATCTCGACTCCTACAATATATCTATTTAAAAAAAACACTACAAAGGAATTCTACAAACTGGAAAGGCTTATGTCTGATATCTCTGACAACTGACTATAACTGATGAAAAAAGAGGGGTGTGTTAAATCATTCTTGCTTTCGATATATAAATAAATCAACGAATCCTTGTTTCCAGTGAACCGGTATATAAAGATATACAATTTCTGCTCTTTTTCCAATTGACACGGTAAATTTCCGACCTGAAAAATATGATTTATAAAAAGAACTTTGAATAAAAATATATAGAAAATCACATTATTGAATCAACAAATTATCAATGGAGAGAGGTTAACTTTACCTTTAAATTTTGTTTTCATAAATGAAACAAATATATAACTTGTAATCAAAGGGTTCCTTAACAAAAAATATATATCAATTTCTCGGACTTAAAAATCATCGTATGAACATGTAGTTAAATTAAGACGTGTTTAAAGAGAAGAAACGTTGCTACGGTGTTAATTATCATATAAAAATTTAAACATCCAAACACAAAAAATCTACTTCTATTTCAAATTCTTCACAGAAAACGCTATTCGTATTGAACTTGACCTTTAAAGGGGTTTTTAAATGCTATGTGCCCTGGTTTCAATCCAAATTTGCGTTTTGAATTAACAAGAGAATACTAGTGTCTGTAATTACGACCTATTAAAACGATATCCTTGACGATTATCCTCGAATTGCACTATTTAACGAAACTTCAGAACTTGAATACTTTTCACATATTTACATAATGATTTTAAGGACTGCAAGGACCTTCTGATTCTCATTTCGTATATTCCTCGAGAGACAGAATTACACCTTTTCTGTGAAAAGAAGTCACATTAAGACACACTTCATTAAGAATATTTCCTCTGCAAATAATTTTTTTCAATTTTTGCAATTACTCGGGCGTAACTGTGTTTTAACTTCTCAAATGTTTTTTTTTATTAAACAGTCCATGGCAAGCGTTAAATAAATAAAAAGACAAAACGCTAAAACACTAAATGTGTACTTGTAGTATTACATAGATTTCATGGCCTCTATTTTCTTGCAAATGATGTATATAATTTATATGTTTTATAACGCCTACAAATTAAAGTTATGGCTGAATCAAACTGAAAGTAACCCTTTACTCTTTCTTATTTATTTGGAGAATGTTGTCAATCTTATCCTCTATACGAAAAAGCTGAAGGATGTGTTTAAGGACAGAAAATCCATTAATTATTACGTGTACAATAAGGAGAATCGGATAGTTTTCCTTCAGTGAGAAAAATATTTAAAATCCTAACAACAGAAAATTACGCCATACTGAAAATTGATCAATACAATAGAAGAAACAGATTCAGTTGAAATAAAAAACAGCAACAGATAAAAGAATTCATAAAAAATGTTTGTTTTGGTTTTTTGTTCCTTGTGATCCAATTTTTACAATATATTCCAAATTGCTTAAATCAATTAAGTGTTATGTTCACGTCATATGTCATTACTAAGGGGATTGATAAAGGGATTTCATAACTGTATATGCTGGTCAATATTATACATTTATTGCAAGTTGTGAGGGAAATATGAAGTCTTATTCAGTCAAGAAAATCATGTTTCCCCAATATCCATGCATTTAATTGTTTATTATACCGAAATAAGCGAAAACTTTGTAATAATAATTAATTTTTGAATTTGGCACTGCTCTCAAATTATTTTCATTTTTTGTCCCCCGCTTTCGCGAAAGCGAGGGGACATTAAATCTCATGCGTCTGTCCGTCTGTCAGTCTGTCCGTCCGTCACAAAAACTTTAACCTTGCCCATAACTTTTGATTCAGTGAAGCTTTGACTTTCATATTTCATATGTGTATTCCTTGTGATAAGACCTTTCTTTGGATACCACCAAATTTAACCTTTTGACCTTGACCTTGGAGTTTGACCCACTTTTACACAAAAATTCCAATCTTTTACTTTAGTAATAACTTTTAAATTGTAGGTACAAGGACTTTTATATTTCACATATGTATTATTTGTATCAAGACCTCTCACTGGATACCAACAACTTTGACCTTTTGACCTTGACCTTTCAGATTTCTGTACTTTTGAGAAAACTTTAACCTTGTCCATAACTTCTGAATGGTAATGCCTAGGTCTTTTATACTTCATATAAATATTTCTTGTGAGAATACCTTTCATTGAATTCCAAAAAACCTTGGCCTTATGACCTTGACATTTGAACTTTTTGACCTTGACCTTGGAGTTTGACCCACTTTTACACAAAAATTCCAAACTTTTACTTTAGTCATAACTTTTAATTGGTTGGTACAAGGACTTTTATATTTCACATATGTATTATTTGTAGCAAGTCCTCTTATCGGATACTAACAACTTTGACCTTTTGACCTTGACCTTTCAGATTTCCGTACTTATGAGAAAACTTTAACCTTGACCATAACTTCTGAATGGTAGTGCCTAGGTCTTATATACTTCACATAAATAATTCTTGTAAGAAGACCTTTCATTGAATACCAAAAACCTTGGCCCTTATGACCTTGACATTTGAGTTTGACCTTCTTTTCAAAAACTTTGACCTTGGTCAAAACTATTGAACAGTAGATAAGAGGACTTTTATATTTCACATATGTATTTTTGTGGCACAACCTTTCATTTGATACCAACAACTGTGACCTTTTGACCTTGACCTTGGAGATTTTTTGTAATTAAGAGAATTTTTTTGGACCATTCCTTTTGAATGGTAAGGGCTAGGGCTTTCAAACTTCATATATGTAATTCTTTTTAGAGAAGACTTTTCATTTGATACAAAAAACGTTAACCCTTTGACCTTGACCTTGGAGTTCAAATATGATTTCTAAATAGATGACTTATGATAGGGCGTTTATATCTAGACACAAATTAATGACATATCACCCAAATTGACACCGAAAGCGGGGGACCACAATTCTTTGAATTTGCTTGTTAAAGTTATTATAAAACCGTGTGGTCAACACATATCAACAATTTTGTGACTTATTAAACATGCTATTGTGACATGTACTACTCGCGGGAGTTTTTCGTTTAAGCTAACGAAAACTATATTGCTGTAACATACAAGAGGTGAATATGATGAAATTTAGCGCCCGAAGACCGTGAAATATGAAGTTTTATGACTCAAATATCGTGAAAACCTAGAACCAATCAGATAATGCATTGTGCGGAATATTTATAATGAGGTATAATGATGCAGTTTATTTGTAAATATTTTATAAACAAGTAGAATTGATATGTCTGGGAAACGTATTATCATACAAATGTACATATTGTATTAGTGTCCAAAAGAATTAGATTCGAAATGGAACTGTATATTGTCTCATATATCTGAATATGTTATGATAATGTTAATTGCCTTTAAAAACCCCTGCATCATTCGGCAGTATAAACTATTTGTGTTTATTTTATACTTATGTATTAATAAAAGTCATACAGAATCAGCAATATGTAAGACAGATTTAGACATTTTAAGATTTGTTTCTAATTTACAATTGTTACTCTAATTTCAGGCTAGAACGTAAGGATATTACTATGATATGCTGGATAACAGTTATTTCGAGACTGTATTAACCTAAATAGGAATGTACCTATAACCTACATGAAAATCAATGCGTATAGTGCATAAAGCATGGACGTTAATACCTGTAATTCTTTTGGATAATTGAGAAACTATAATTATTGTTTGGCGAGCTTGTCATGGCCGTTTATTGCAAATATATAATTCAAATAATATCAATAACAAATTATGCGCCGATCATACAAAGATATGGCAGCATACACACAAACATATACACAAGCAGTAGAACTACCATCTTGGCCCGAGGGACCTGGAAAAAACAGTGCCCCCCGGAGATGGTATTCTATGCAAAATTCTGCCATTAATTAAACAATATATTGTTCATCAAAGTCTTTGATAGGCTTGTCACTGGACCAAACATCGAGAATGAGACCGTCTCCATGAATTTTTGGCCATGACGCTGAAAAGAGAAATTAGCAGAGCGAAAGAACCTTTTCTTTGAAAAACACAAATTAAAAAATTGCACCTTAAATACGAATAGTTTTAACATTAATTAATAAACAAATCTGTTTCAATTTATATGCCACCATCATGTTTACTATAAATATGGGCAGGGAGGGTGGGGATTCCTCACTAAAATTTTTCCGGCCTACACCTTCGGAGAATGACGGAAAAGGAAGCTGAAGATGAGCATGCGCAATGACGCTAAGTTGGTTGCACCAAAATAAGAGTTATCCTTCTTGACCCATAATAAAAATAATACACAAATATTGTGCTCGAAATAACCCGG